TGCTCCTGAAGATCTTGATTCACAGATTCCCCTGAACTTTCTGGACCTGCATTCATGGCCTACTAACTACCACTCCCCACTTTGTTTCTTTTTGTTGTACTGTTGTAGGCTAGCGATGGAACCCAGGGTCTTATGCCTGCCAGGGTTTTAGGCATGTACTCTACTGCTAAACTACAACCTGAGCTCCCTTTCTTGTACACTGTGCCGAGGCCTGTCTCCTGCAAGCCTGTATGAGCCTTCACCTCCACCCTTACTCAGAATCTACCCTTGCTTCCTGGCCACCAGGCTTACAACCAGGGTTAAGTCACTACATAATCCAGTGGATGACATATTGAACCTGATAAAGGAAGGAGGGACTACACCCAGAGAGTTCCAAGACCTAATAAAGCCTGTAATGGCAGGAGTTGGGGGAATAGCAAAGAACTGCATTCTGAGGGTGCTTGATTAAGAACATCACATCATAGAACTGAATAGGGGAGAGTTTATTGAGTGCGGAGCTGTGGTGGATTGACAACCGGTGGTCAACATATAATACCCAGCTGAACTTAACCAGCGTAGTGCTGGGTGTGGGAGGGCCACCTGAAGATCATTGCCAGCAGTCTAAGAGGCAGAACTGGAGAAGAAGTTAGGCTGTGGGGAGCTGATAGAAGCTGTAAGGAGCTGTTGGTTCTTTTGGAGGAGCTTATCATGCTGGCTTTCCTGATGAATTCAGCCTCCTGATACAGACTTACTCAGAATGCTGCAGTGAACTCCAGCCCCTGGCCTGAATTCTTCGGTCTCCAGTGTGCAGACATCCTCTGCATGCTTCCTAATCCAACTCTTTGGCTGACTGTCATAAGCCAATCTTGTAATTTCTTATACATTTGTATATCTTGTTATATCTGTTTCTCTAGTAAAACCCTGACTGATACAGGCGCACTCTCCCAAGATACAAGATCCTGCCAAGGATCCTGTAGATTTGCTACTACTACACTGGGTCTTAAAAGGATAAAAGAAAAAAAAAACACTATAGCACACATGAAGTTCAAAACAAAACAAAGCAAAAAAGCCAGAACTCTCAAAGCAGATGGTTTGGGAATGAGTTAAAAAGCTCAGAAAACTGGGTGGAGTGGCACACATCTTAATCCCAGCTACTCCAGAGGCTGAGGGAGAGCAAATGCTAAGTTTTGAGGCCAGCCTAGGCAACTTAGCTGTCTCAAAATAAAAAATAAAAAGGGATGAGTCAGGAATGGTGGCACATACCTGTAATCCCAGCATCCCGGGAGGCTGAGGCAGGAGGAAGGCAAGTGTGAGCCCAGCCTGGGGAACTTAAGAGACTTAGCAAGACCTATCTCAAAATTAAAAATAAGCTGGGAAAATTGGCTATCCATGTGCAGAAGATTGAAGCTAGACTCATATCTCTTACCATGTAGTAAACTAAAATAAAAATGGATCAAAGACCTAAATATTCCAACAGAAACAGTCTGGTGGAAGATAAATTAGGTAAAGCTTTCGAAGACATAGGCATAGGCAGGGACTTCTGAGCAGAATCCAACTGTATAAGAAATAACATCTAGAGTCAACAAATGGGATTTTAACAAATTAAAAAGCTTCTGTTACTGGGTGTGGTGGCACATGCCTATATAGCACTTGGGAGGCTGAGGCAGGAGGACTGTTACAAGTTTGAGACCAGCCTGGGCTACAAAGTGAGCTTAATGCCAGCCTGAACTGCATAGCGAGACCCTGTCTCTTTTTTCTTTTTTTTTTTGTCTTTTTGAGACAGGGTCTCGCTATGCAGTTCAGGCTGACCTTGAGCTTAGCTTTGTAGCCCAGGCTGGCCCCAAACTTGTAAACAATCCTCCTGCCTCAGCCTCCTGAGTTCTGGGATTACAGCCATGTGCCACAATGCCCGGCTGAGACCCTATCTCAAAAAAAAAAAAAAAAAAAAAAAAAAGCTTCCGTCCAGCAAAGAAAACAACAAACTGACTGAAGAGACAAACTACAGAATGGGAAAAACTTCTTGTCAGCTGCTTCTCAGACAGAGGACTAACATCTGAAAAATTAGATGCCCCCAAAATTAGATGCCCCAAAATAAGACTCCCCCCAAAAAAGGCCCAATCAAAAAATGGAAAAGAATAGACCTTTCTCATTAGTACAAATGACCAATAAATACATGAAAAAATGTTCAATATCTCTGACCATTAGAAAAATGTAAATTAAAACAACATTGAGATTTCATCTTACTCCAGAAAGAATAGCCATGATCAAGAAATCAAATAATAGGGCTGGGGATATAGCTCAGTGGCACAAGCGCCTGCCTGGCAAGCACAAAGTCCTGAGTTCAATTCCCAGTACCAAAAAGGAATCAAATAATAACAAATGCTGGTGAGGCTGTGGGGGGAAAAGGAACCCTTCTGCATTGTTGGTGGGAATGTAAACTAGTTCAACCACTAGCTAAAAATAGAAATTTCATTTTACCCCCCAGGCATTGTGGTGCACACTTGTAATCCCAGCACTCCAGAGGCTGAGGCAGGAGGATTATTGTGAGTCTGAAACTAGCCTGGGCTATAAAGTGAGCTCAAGGCCAGCCTGAACTACACAGGGAGACCCTGTCTGAAAAAGACAAAAAAAAAAAAGAAATTTCATTTTATCTAGCAATTCCCTGTCTAGGTATTTTTCCAAAAGACATTAAGATATTAAAAATTTAAGGACATCATATTACAGTGATACATGCAAACACATTTTTAGCAGCACAACTCATAATAGCTAAATACTGGAAGCAGCCCATATGTCCATCAACAGATGAATGGATGAAAAATGTTATTTATTAATTTATAATTCTTCTTGAGACAGAGTCTCACTATGTAGTTCAGGCTGGCCTTCAACCCACTGCGTAGACCAGGCTGGGTTCAAACTTGCAGCAATCCTCCTGCCTCAGCCTCCTAAGTGCTGGGATTACAAGCACGTACTACCACTCCATTTAAATGTGGTATGTATTTATACACAATGGAGCACTATTCTGCTATAAAGAAGAATAAGTTTGAATTATTTGTAGGAAAATGGATGCACCTTGAGACTGTAGTATTAAGTGAAATAAATCAGAAACACAGCTTAAATGTTACATGGTTTCTCTTGTATGAGAAACCCAAAGTATATATAAATTAAACAGCAAAATAAATGCTGGGTGTGGTTGCACATGCCTGCAATCCCAGAACCTGGGAGGCTGAGGCAACTGAAGGCCACCCTGGACTACAAAGTAAGTTCAAGGCCAGTCTGCACAGGAAACCCTGTCTCAAAAAATAAAACAGCAAAATAAAAGATAATAGGAGACTCAGAGATAGATATTTTGCAAATGAGAAGAGGACCAAGAGATACAAGGTATGTATGTATATATATAACATATATATATACAAACACAAGATAATGAAGATAGCTATACTACTAATTGCTATTAGCTCATTGAAAGGATAGGCACACAGTATGCCTATATTGCTTGATCGGTTTTTCATGACTATATCTTGTATTATGAGCAACTACTTTGAAGATAACAATGCACAGTGTACTGAACATTGTTACTCTCCTACAATCTTGTTTTAAAATTTTATACCATCGCTTTTATTGTTTATTTTTCTTCGCTTTAAAACAAAACAAAAAGAGAGGCAAAGTGGAGAGGGAAGGGAAAGATGTAAAAAGAGTTAGGATGTGTTAAGTACATATACCAACTCCTCAAGATGAACGTAATAAATATGAACTGCAAACACGTACTAATAAAAATAAGAAAATCAAAACAAAAAATAAAGAAGGCTGGGATGTAGTTCAGTGTGATGGCCTTGGGCTCAATCCCGAGTACTGCAATCAGTCAGTCCATCAATCAGTAACTCACACAGAGAAGTGAGCAACTGGAAAGGATAGAAGTGGTCAATACAGAATCTCAACATCATCCCTACTTGGACTAGAACCTTTCCTTGCCTCCCTGAACTAATCTCCAAACCCTGTGGGTTCGACCTTCCAAATTATCCACCATCTATCCACTTCTCTCCATTTCTCCATTTCTCTGCCTTTCTTGATTCAGGACACCATCATTTCTTGCTATGAAGACATCCGACAGCCCAAGTGGTGTCCTTGGCTTTTTTTTTTTTTTTTTTAACACAGCGTCTCGCTATGCAGTTCAGGCTGTCCTTGAACTCACTTTGTAGCCCAGGCTGGTCTTGAACTCGCAATGATCCTCCTGCCTCAGCCACCCGAATGATGGGATTACAGGCATGCGCCACCACCCTAGGCTGGTCTCCTGGGCTTTAATCTCTTGTTCTTCTAATCCATTAGTCGCAAGGCAGCCAGAGTAATCCTTTTTAAAAATCTAATTACATTCTTCTTGAATTTTAAATATCTAAGTGCTAAAGTTTAAACTCCTTAATATAGTTTACTAGGCTCCTAACGATGTGGCTGCTACGACTTCCCCGGCCTCGTCGCTCGCCCCATACTAACTACATTGGCTGCTCCAGCTACAACGAATTTGGTTCCCTGAGCAATCATCAACTCGCCGCTCCCTCTGGGTTTATTTTTCAGTGCTGGGGATCGAACCAACCTTCTCCATTATCCAGTGGGCTTCTTCCCACGCTGTTCCCTGCTAGAAACATCCTTGCACTCTTCTTTTGGACAACTCAGACGCATTCTTGTGGTCCCAAGCTCAGCTGTCATTTGGACAACTCAGGCCAGCCCCATCCCTCAACGATGCCCTCGACTAAGTCCGGGTGGCAGGTGTCTTCCACGTGGACAGTCCCTGAGGTCGGCCACCACACTCTGTCGGTCTCGGGCATCTGAAAGGCTGGAAATGCCTGGAACTCCTCAGAGCAGAGCCAGGTCCTCGTGGCCGTAGCGGAGGACTCACGGGCAGCCCACCTAGCTACACTCCCAAGTCTGGGAAACCGCGGCGCGTGGCCCCGCCCCACGCTGCGTCGGGGGTGGAGCAGGGCGGAGCGCCCAGCGAACTGCTTGCGCCGGGCGGGGGGCGGAGCCAGGGGCGGAGCGGAGCGCGCATGCGCGGTCGCCTTTGTGTGGGTCGAGCGGCGGCGGTGGCGGCGGCAGTGGCGGTCCCACTGGCAGGCGGGCAAGAGGGGAGTCCGGGCGGCGTCCGGCGTGGGAGCCGGGGGACCACCATGGTCAAGAAACGGAAAGGCCGCGTCGTGATCGACTCGGACACGGAGGACAGCGGCAGCGACGAGAACCTGGATCAGGTGAGGGCCAGGCCGCGAAGGCGCGGGCCGGCAGAGCGGGAGGCTAAGTCGGGGCCGCGGGACTGGAGCCGGCCGGGCCCGGAGCCCTCTGGCCCGAGCGCCCGGCCCGGTCGGCGCCCTGGCCGCTGCCGCAGCTCCCTCCCTGTCCTCCCCGCGCGGTCCGAAGCTCTCGGAGCCCAGCCCCGGCCGGGAGACGGAGCCTGGTGGACTTGGCGCCTTGGGCCGGGAGGCGGGGCAGGGACCGCAGTGATGGGCCGCGGCCCTGGGGTCCCGGAGGGGCCGCGATCTGCTGGGCCGGTTCCGTGCGGCGGGCTGCAGGCCTGGAGATCCGGGCCCTGAGAGATAGGAAGTGTCGCCCGCCAACCGTGGAGGCTGGGAGGACTTGGAGGAGGTGCAGGGGTGAGCTGGGGCTGTGGGAGGGCGAGAGCCCAGAAGGTACCGACGCTGGGGATGAAGTTTTTCAGACTAGGGGTGTGGACGGGGAGGAGGACATTCGTAAATGTTCAGAGGAGCTTCGGCAGTGCTGTGTGGGCACGAGTGTCTTTGGCGTCTAGGGTCGTTTGTGGTTGAGACGGGTTCCCGTTGGGGTGTCAGGCCGAAACACATATACACGCGCGCACACACAGTCTTGGAGGGAGGAACGAAGGCAGCTGCTACTGGAAGAACCGTGGGGCAGCATGGAGCGGTGGGAGCCCTGGCGGCTGGACCCTTCTGATGCAGCATGCCGGGGTTCATTCTCATTTAAAGATAGTGCAGGGACCAGTGAAAGTAACTTGGGGCCTTAGTGTCCTGGGGTAGATTGAGATTTTTATATACTTTAAGAATTAGTGTGAGTAGGAAGCTGCCCTTTGTAGTGGTGCTCCAATGATACGAGGATATATAAAGGTGATTTTTTTCCATATTTAATGAGAAAGAAAATTTGAGTTCTAAAGCTGAGGTTATGTTGCTTTCTAGCTACGTATATTGATCTTAGATGTAAAATTAGATAAAGCATCAGCCTTCTGTATCTGTTTGGGCAATTGTAAGGATCAAACGTTTGTAAGAATAAATGCCACAAGCGTTTACAAACGATAAAGTTTTGTATAAATGGCTTCTTGGTCGTCTTTGTACTAGGCCAGAGGTCTCAGGACTAAAGTATTAGGACGTGAAAAGGGAGGATTATTAAAGAAAGAGGTATTGGGGAAGTATTAAAGAGGACTGTTCCAGTAGTGGTGGTCGGGAGTTAGGGCCTGTGGAAGACTTTCAAGACATAGAAACTCTGTCTGGGGAAAAGAATTGAAAGAGTAAATGGGAAATATTTTATTGAAAGGCTCCTGAAATCTACAACAACATATATATATATATATATGTTGTTTTATATATATATATATATATATATATATAAAATTTTTTTTCTTTTGTATTTTGAGACATGGTCTTGCCATGTAGTTCAGGCTGGCCTTGAACTCATGGCAGTCCTGTCAGCAGCAATCTTCTTGTCAGTGTTGGGATTTCAGGTGTGCATCTCCATATCCGCCTTCAAATATCTGTATATTATATATAGGGTCTTTCCCTGCAGTTCAATCTGGCCTTGAGCTCACCATCTAGCCTAGGCTGCCCTCAAACTTTTGGTGATCCTCCTGCCTCAGCTTCCCGAGTGCTGGGATTACAGGTGTATACCACCACACCTGGCTAAAAGTATATTCTTGATTGTAAAAGTTTGTTTGATAAGGTAATTTTATTTATTTATTTATTTATTTTTGGTACTGGGAATTGAACTCAGGACCTTGCACTTGCCAGGCAGCTGCTGCATCACTAAGGTATATCCTTGGCCCTTGATAAGGTAAAATTTAGACTGCCAGGAAATTGGAACAGTTTCTTGGTGCTTTGTTTGGTTTTGGTTTTTTGACAGAGTTTCGCTGTGTAATTCAGGCTGGCCTTGAACTCACTATGTAGTCCAGGCTGGCCTCAAACTCTTGGTGATCCTCCTGCCTCAGCCTCCTGAATGCTGGGATTACAGGCATGTGCCACTACACCCAACCTGGAATCTAATTTTTACTATACTTTGATCTATAGGGGGAGGTGTTTCAGATACTAACATCAGCTGTCATTTACATGAATTTCACACCTTAATTGAGTGCTTTATTTACATTGTCAAGTTTTCAAATTATGGTGAAGTTGGAATAATTTCCCCTACTTTACATAGAGGAAAATGGAAATTGAAGAAAATGCATACAACTAGTAAGTGACAGAATTTAACCCAAATCTGCACAAGTAAAAGACCTGTATTCTGTACTATACCAGCTTTAATCTGCGAGCCTCTTAATTTTTCATACTGCAAAATGAGAACAATGTTTCATACCCGTTTTCCATATTGCTAGAATTCACGTTTGTAAAGTACACCAGACAGTAGAGAGGAAAGCGGGATATCATTTAAAAAGATTGTGTGGGGGCTTTGAGAAAGCACTTTGAAGACATCTTTTCCTAAGGTGAACAAACTGAGCTGCAAATGATCTGCGTTTAGTGGTTTTCCCCAGAGCAATGATGAGTGAAATGGATGGAGTGCTTTCGTGTGTGGTAGAGATATTTTATCTGAGCTATAAGAGCTTTTCCGAGTGGCGACTATAGGGGATTGCAGCTTTAAATCTAATTCTAAATATCTATTTGTAAATAGAAATTAATGGTAAGTTTGTAAGTACTGTAATTTCTAATCCATTTTAACAGCAATTTCAACTTTCTTTTTTTTAATTTTTAAATGAGACAGGATCTCGCTGTGCAGTTCAGGCAGGCCTTGAGCTCACTTTGTAGCCCCGGCTGGTCTCAAACTCGCAATAATCCTCCTTCCTCAACCTTCTGAGTGCTGGGATGACAGGCGTGCGCCACCATGCCCGGCAGCAGTTTCAGCTTTCCTTCAGCTACTGTTGGCATGCTTTCTTTGGTTTCTTGAGAAAGGGTCTCAGTAGGTTTAGTCCAAGCTGGCCTTGAATTTGCTCTGTAGCCCAAGCTGGCCTCCAACTTGCAATCCTCCTTCCTCAGCCTTCCGAGTGTCAGGATTACAGGTGAGCATCAGTATGCCTGGCTTCAGAGGCACTCTTGTTATCAGATGGGAACCAGATCAAAAGTCCCTCTCCTTGTACATCTTCATAGGGACACCAGTCTGTTCAGCACTATGCCAGGTTCTCTGAGCAATCAGAAAGAAAGATCTCTGCCCTCTTGTGTTCATCAGAGGCCGTTAGCAGAAGTTCACAGTCAGCATGATTTTAGGATCTTTGGAATTGTGAGAATGCTCAGTACATTCTGGTCTTTTCTGACCAAGACGCCTTGGGCTGCTCCATCTAGTTCTGAGTGTGTTGAGGTTTAACAGTGGACTTGGTGCGTGGTGTGTGGTCCTTGTGGAAAGAGCAAACCATTGACAAATCTCCCAAGTGTCCCGTGTGAGAGGGGCACTGTTCAGTAACTCAGGTATCTTTTCCCTGAGTTTTCAGATGGTCATCTAAGCGATTATGCCAGAAATACTATATTACCTCCAACTTAGTCCGTATTGGAGGTGAGATGGGTGAGCCCTCTGTCCTAGTTTTTCCCTGTGGATGGGGAAGAAGCCCAGTGACAGAGGCTGCCTGGGTTGCTTATTTAAATGTCAGCTGAGGAGGTGAGGGCTGTGGCTGCTACACCAGACCTACGGAATCAGACCTCAGAGGCTAGAGCCCAGACTTCTGCATTTGTAACAGATCTAGCCCAGGTATTATGACTCATGTTGATCACTGAGGTTACTGTCTGTGTGCAGCTTCATCTTTTTAGGAAGACATTCTGAGTAGTTTGGGAGAGAAAAATAGCTTCTTGTCTGTCGTAGTATGTCCCAGTTAAGGGCACATGCATAACCAATAAGCAACAAGGATGCTTAAAGGGGTAAACTGCTGGTTCTGAATCTTTGAAGCTATTTAAATTGTGGGATGCTTTTCATTTATTTTTTGGTACGAAGATTAAGTACTGTAATGCTGAATGTTATCATTAGGTATATCTTTTTTTTTTTTCCTGCATGCTGAGCACATGCTCTGCCTCTGAGCTACACTCTCAGCCCCTAGAGAATTTTTTTTGTTTTTCTTTCCAGTACCAGGAATTGAACTCACGACCTTGTGCTTGCCAGGCAGGCGCTGTGCCACTGAGCTAAATCCCCAGCCCCTCCCTGGAGATGTTTTAAAAAGTTCTTCTTCTTCTTCTTCTTCTTCTTCTTCTT